ATCACAGGAGAGAAGAACGCCAGACAAAGGGTGATAGTCCAGTCCACGACATAAGGACCTGTGGCGAGCTCTTAGCGAGGACCACCTGGAAGATAACCTGCAGCAGTGGTGTTAAACAAACGAAGATCGACCATTTGCGTGTTAGAAGGTTATCTCTCAAAACATAAATGTGTCTTCAGCACAGTAATCTTCAAGCGGAAATTGCATAGAGCTTCACAAGAAGACGACATTGTACCAGAGCAGAGATTTCAGTGGTGGAAGTAGGGCAAGTGGAAGAAGATGAGCAGTGCAGCAGGGCACTGAAAACTAGTTTTTCAACTCTTAGCGAGGACAACGGAAACAGATCCTCGTACGAGGGAGTTTTGCTCCTGGTGGTTGGCGAAAGTACGGCATCGAACTAAGGAGATAAAGATTTTGAAAGGCTGCAGCAGCACCTGAAGGCCAGTAGTCAGAATGACGTGGGGAGAGTAGTTTGGAGGACTGCCGAACGAGATATCCCCGGCAAGGACAATGTAGAAGTAATGGCAATCACCTTTCAGGAAGGTTGCATACAGAGGAACACTGAAAGCTACTGAAGATTGCAAGCGCAGTTATACCACCTGGGATACCGATTGAGGCATATAAGGAGCGCGAGAACACCAAAGTGGCTGGGAAGCCTTAGCAGCCGAAGGGAGGTTGCTTGATGTGTGGATTACATATCCAAGCGCATCGCGGCATCAGGTTGTGCTTGCATACCACGAAGGTGTATAGGCAGTTAGTCGATAGTTTGCTGAAGCAACTTGTCCCGATCTCGCAGTCGCTTCATGCCTCAAGGTCCATCATGGATGTCATCTTCATAGCTAGGCGAAGAAGCCCCGACCCTGCTACAGGCTTCATGGTTCTTGGGAACGCATTCGACCGTCCACCTAGGCTTGTGCTCTGAAAGGCGCTCATGTGAGGGAACGCCCAAACAACGATCTGCTTTGTAAAGTTCGTGTACAAAGTGGCCGAGGCTCCAATGCGGATTCCATGGCATTACGAAAAAGGTCGTCATTATGGTCGGAGCGCATCAAAGATTAGCTGGAAGTCCGTTCTTGTTCCTGGTAATTGTGGAGGTGGAAATGGCAAAGGAATACTGGCAGTCGCGCTCAACACTATCCTCTACGTCGACGACATCGCCCCGATGGAGGGCACAAGAACAACACAAGGCAAAGTGCAATGGTTGTAAGAATACTGGGTGAGAGTGGTCTCCGGCTGGAAGCGAGGGAGACCATGTTCCTAAAAGTTTGTGGAACGCAACGAACCTGGAAAGGACCGGAAGAAAGGAGGACTCCCGGTTTCTGGGGAACGAACTAGTGGCTGACGGTGAAGTCCCTCTGTCTTCAAAGGCCCGAATAATGCGGGTTGGGTGAATTGAAGAGAGTTCATTGACATCCTTCACGACTGGCGGTGCTTTAGGGTACTTAAAGGAAACGTTTAGCGGACGGTAAGACTGCACTGCTACACGGCAGCGAGTGTCAGCCTTTGAGCAGGAATTGTGAAAGTCTACTTCACTGCAGTAATGGGACGCCGAAATGGGTCTGCTTATGGATTCATCTGGACAAGGTCAGAAACGAGGGCGAACACGCAGACGGTTTTTGTCAAAAGAAGGTATGAGAGTAACGACCACGATGGTACTGCCCATGCTCCCGCGAGGAAGTGGATCGTTGTACGGATCAGGCGGTGGGGTGGGAACGATTGCGTTGCATATGAGACAATTACAGCACCCTTGTGACAAGCTTTATTGGATTATTTACATCGATTATCCATGAAAAGATTGGACGAAAATAGAGTGTGGCCTAGAAAGCCAGTCCTCAATCGCGCTACGGTTGCAGTTTCTCAACGCATTAAATATGAGCGCACTCGTATGCAAATGTGGACGATGCGAGAGACAAAAGCCTTCATCAAGTGAAACGCTTGGCAGACCTCGAAAGGAGATCTGAGAGCAGCGGATCAGCGTTAGAGAAGGCACCTAATGATGTAAGTTTCATTCCAAGTGGCCCTTCGACTTGGAGTGCTCCCATGAGTGAGCACGATACGATTCACAGTAACAAAACTGACCAGATCGCTACGTCTATCAATGGTATACATGTAAGTTCCATCACCGTTTTTGACAAATATGTATTCTGCTTTGAATAGTGGAGTGAAAGCTGCAAAGGCACAGCCATATTGTAGTCCTATTATAATACGTACATTTCTTCGGTTCCAAACCTAAACAATACGATTGAACGCACATTTCATTGTTTGCTCATTGTTTGGGCGGAGACATTTGATCACGGCGCCTCTCATCGAGGCGCCCCTTCTTGCGGCTGCCAGCGGTAGGGATCGGATAACTGTAAAAACCACTAACCATTTCATATTTCTCCTTCAGGCGAAGTGCCGAATATCGATTGGCAGCGATGAGCATATTTCCAATCATATGGGCAACAAAAGATGTGCAACCAACTATAGCAAGAGCCCGAATTAGAAGCTCTAATTGAGGACCCAAGACATGGAGGTCGTTATTTATACGATAGAAACAGAAGATTGAAATAGATGTCACGTCAGCAATCCCTAGGAGAAGATCAACCATGTTAATCGAGCTCACTCTGTCTCCACAAAACAGCCCCCTCAATCTTAAATATCTGAACATGAACGATTCCACGACTGTGCCAGCAGTGTATAAACATAACTCCAATTGGAGTACCAGTTAAGAGCATGATAAACTGTTAAAAGCACCCAGTTAAGGCGGCAAATGTTGCAGCTGCTTTCTGTCGATGACACTGACTATGAAGAAGTGTTGAGTGTGTGCAGATGGGACCAGATGTTGGTACGATGGAGTGCAAAGATGGACCAGAGCGCTGCTGTCCGTGGAGCACATACAGTTTGCAATATGTCATCAAGTGGGCGTGGCCCACCCTACTTCATGAACCTTTAACTCGCTTGTAGTGCATCAGATGCGGTACAGCCCTCTGCGGAAAAGCTACTTTATATGCAAAGAATTCCTGCACTGAGGTAGTCTCAAACAATTCCTTTACGACTCAGTCAAGAACAATCTATAATAACTTGCTTACGGGGGTGTCTTGTCCTTTCTATAGCACCCATTTCTTTATTCTAATATGAGTAGTACGATTCTTTACCAATACTTCCAGTTATACTGGGAACGAAACGCTCCTGACATCAGTATAACTTGAATCAGAGCGCGGCAACGCTGCGATGCTTCACTTCTGGTTCCATTGCCAGTCCGACAAATGCTTATGGATGGTCGCTTTTTAAATTTTGGCACCGTTGATTTAAACCGTATCTTACCTGTTGCCACAAACATGGAGTAGAAAGGATTTTGAAGGCTTTCACCTCAGATGTAATAATAATGAATAGGACAAATACATAAATTGACGCAAGTAGAACTTCTAGTATAGTTTGTGTAACGCTGAACATAATTCCTTTGAGCTTATATAGCCTGAAGAAAAATTGTTATTCCCTAGCATTCTTTTATTAAGGCTTTGAAATGTGTTATTTGTCGAAAGATTTTAAGAATTTTTAGAAGGATAGTCGAATGCTTAATAAATCTAAATCTCTGGGAGGAGGACCATCTGGGTGAGACATAGTGCCTACAGAAGACGCCGCCTTTTAGCTTTTGCTGAATGCGATCCCTTCCCTCCCAGAAAGAGACAAAAAAGCGAAAAAGTGGAAAATATCGAGTAGGATATTATCTGTCAGTTGTTCGTTCAGAGATAGCGCGCAAGCATTCAAGGACGCCTTTTCTTTGCTACGTCGAAACGAGCTATTTCGCGCCATGTATTGCGAAATAGCAGAAATCCAGAAGTTTCTTATTTTCTTGACAGCAGAGCTTCTGAAGAGTGGAAAACAGCGCTTCAGAGCCGAAGGACTGCAGTTCATTATCTGTGTTGAGGCGCCGTCAAACTCCTTCGTTTCGAGAACTTTCTCCGTTGTGACATCGTTGTAACATTTTAGTGTCATACGAGTTTTCACGCTTTCAGCTATAACTTTTATGATGTACGACCTTTCGTAAGAAGAGAGCAGTGTCGAAATCAAAGGGACTTCCACTCTCTGAAAATTTTTTCTTCTTTTCCTAGGCCTGCTAAAAAATTCGCCTTTGTAATGTTGTGACATTTTTTGACATCACGGAAAACCCATCCCTCCGTCACAGTACCATTTCCATTTCGTTGACTTTAGTATGCTTCTAGAACACATATTTTCGCCAAACCGGTCGAGAAATGGTTCATTCGAAGATAAATAAAATCACTTTGTGATGCGCCATTCATACGCCGACCCAGAGGTGCTAGGAAGCTTTATATCTGCGATAGGGCTTCATAAGTGCAGATAAATGCGCGCCTGCGATCAAAAAAGACTGAATGTGGACTTTGACTTGAATATTTATTCATAACGTTGTTTTGAGCCGTCTACTTCTTGTGACTACCCGTTCCCCACTTCTGAGCTTGCACCTTGCCTATGTCTTCAAGTGCCTCTTCAGGTGTTCTTGACATGAAGAACAATGAATAAATCTTTCATCATTCAAGCTGTTCAACATGTTAGTACAGACGCCCTCTCCAGTTCAGAACGAACTCTGCGCCTACGCCCTCATCCCTCCCTTGCTGTCAAACGCGCGTAATAGAAGAAACGTAGGGGTCAAAACTACGAAAAGGGGTAAAATCGACAAGTAGCAAGCCAGCTCCTGGAGAGAATTCCGGTTTGGCTCAGCCATTTATTTTGCGTCCAACGTTACAACGTGCGAGTTCTTACAGGATGCAATGCGAGGTGCCATACCTCAAATGTACTCAGTTGGACGCACATGTTTTTACAATGACCAAGGCAGCGTTCAGATGTGCCGTAAAGCGTCGCGGTGGCGTCGACGGTTGTTGCCACAACTGCAATGGCGCTCCGAAGCTACATTTGGACAGGAACGCAGTCGCAGACGGGTTTGCTCGGCGCCGACCGCTTGAGCTCTGAGAGGGTACAACGGAGGGTGGGCGCTGTATGTACAGCCTGTTACCCTCCCATTCCTCTACACAGGGGGGGGGCAAAAAAGTTATTTCAGTCGAGTCACATATCAACAAAGTTTTCGCAGCCCAGACGGAGGACGTGGATACGAGTACCAGGGCGGAAGATACTCAAGATGTTTCTCAATAAGCAGGAGCTGGCTCTTCCCATCATCTTCATGTACACTAAAATATAAATGTCATTCCTAGTAGCAGTCTGACTGGAAGAAGGACCCGTTGAGCATTCACGTCACCCTCCAAAACAGACACTGCGAAACTTCTGGTGTGAAGTCACCCATGGATAGTCTACCTGGAGACCAGTACTCTCGATCTGGATGACCTCCAGCACGAGCAGCTCCGACAACGTCGCCACGGTCAAGGGCATCATCTTCACCACTGTCGCCAAGGCACGGATTGGTGGTATGGGCCGGACGTACCTGGTGTTGAATGACCTATATTTTCTTCGTGGACTCCGAAAATTGAAGGGTTTGCAGCAGCTGGCGCGGTTACATCAAGCAACTCAAGAAGAATATCCTCCCCACATGTCGCCGCCCGTACCTTCTTGGAAACTTTGTACTGCTACAGCATTGGGTGCCACCACATGGAATCGGAGGGCGTTGGAAAAACTCCCGCCTACTTGGAATGTAAAGGCGTTGAGTACCTAAAGTAGATGGAATATCTAAGTAGGTCACCTGACCTAAACCAGCTCAATTACCCGGTTCGGGCGGAGTTCAATAGGGTGGTCTACGGTGGCGGAGAAATCGACTATCTCGCTGATCTCATTCATCATATCGCCCGTTCGGCGGTTCCAGCAATCGCTCGATGCGCTTCGGCCAGAAGGTGGCGGGAGTATCGTGATTGGAGGTAATTTAATATGCTATTTGATATGGTGGTAAAAATCTCCGATCGGATTTACTAAAGTGTAACTTATAGCGCCTCGAAAGTCAAGGAAGAAAAGTGACTTTGTTAATTCCGCGCCCTCTCCCCCCCCTGTACTCTGACGAAGCAGCACTACGTGCGGGGTATGTCGATCCATACCGGCTGCGTTCCGCGGTGTGGCATTGAAGTTCTAGCGTTTTAGCTCGTCATCAAAATCTTTTGATTTTCTTGTATATTGGTCCAGGGTACTTCATAGTTTTCAGCAACTACCCCGCTATCCTTTACATTTTCTCATCCCATGGGTGATCAGGCGTGGCTGCGAAGAAGTGAGCTTCATAAACCATCAGACGCGGTTTTTTAAATCTTGAAGGATCTGCAAAAAATACCCCAGAAATTTTGGACTTATTTCGAACGTTATCTTGCATAGTACTTCGTGGGAACGCTCTACCTGCATTGAGGCCCTTGCCAGGGGAATACGGTGTGGCGAAGGGGCAGCAGCAGTGGACTCTCCCGTATATAGCAGGTCAACTTCTTGTTACGTCTACTTTATTTCTTTCCCACAAGCTTTGCCGATAAAGCTTACGGCATTACTATGCCGTCGCTAGGCTCCTATAATGGTCCGTACTTTTCACAGGTTTTTTTTTCTTCACTGCGTCTCTTTCTTCACAAGCTATAGCTTCCTGCTATATACGGGAGAGAAAGGAGTCTTTGCTAAGCGTAATTTTTCGCTTCTTGAAGGAATATGTCAAAAAATGTGACTCTTCACATCAGCCCTCACTACCAATTTTATGAGAAGGAGTTTTACCAGCGGATAAACGGCGCTCTTTTATCGAAGAAAAAAAAAACGGGGGGGGGCGCATTCCGTTTTGCAAGATTTGCCAACCTATCTAGGTACCCCTTTTTCGAGTTGACACGTTTTGGGATGGTGGCTAGACGATCTTGCTCCAGCTTCACAAGCGTTCACAAGTTTTACCAGAGTGAGATTTGTAAACCGGAACCAGGGAAGCAATTATAATGCAAAATGCCCTCGATAACAGCGCCAGCGATCACTTTCAAATTTGAGCGCCCTATGATCCAGATGGCTTTGTGAAGCAGAGCCCGTGTTGCTCGCTGAGTGTGTTTTCGCGCTGAGCGTCACACTCGTGCCCAGATAATCGAACCTCTCGTACGGAAAGACACCGGGTGTTTCGATAGTGCAAAAGAAGAAAAATAACGATGAAATGTTCGATGCAATTTGCACCTATTCAAACATTCTTCTGTGCAAAGCCTGATCTTGCGATCTCTGCCACATCCTGTCTGTAACTGCTACAGTTTCCCGGATTACTAAGGGCGAATCCGGACGACGACAAGCCATCGATGACAAGCCGACCCTGGGGAACACTGCCGGTCATTATCTATCCAATGCCGGCCACCTTCAGAAAAATTAAGCGGCAAGTTCATATTTCAAAACAGAAAAATCTGTCCCCAGTAGTAACTATGCTCAGCAAAATAATATGACACCTGTTCGGCACGAAACGCTTGTGTCGTGAGCTACAAGCACATTGAGATCCACGTTACACAG